TCCGTGCTCTCTTGGTCCTGACTGTCACATGGGCTGGCCAATGGGCCAGGGGTTGACGGCTCGGCGGGTCTTTGAGTGCGGCAGCCGCGGCCGGCCCCTTCCCCGACGTCTGTGGTCCTTTTTGGCGCCCCGCGGCCACCATCCGCGTCCTTCCGGCTTCCCGGCTGGGCCGTGGCCAATGCCCGGCCTCCGCATGCCTCCCCCCTCACCCCTGTGCTGGGCAAAGCCGGCTGAGGCCTCCAGGACCCACGCGCGGTAGGCGGCGGCTCGGGGAAATGAGGGGAGGGGGGTGGGTCGTACCTGTTGGCCAGGTCTGCACCGGAGGAGAGCTGGGTGGCAGCGTGCGGCGGTTGGGCGGCTGTGGCGGCGTGGGCGGCTGCGGCGGCGTTCAGCTGCTGCTTTCCCCCCCCAGCGGATGGCAAGCCCCGCGGAGCTTGACATGAGCCAGAGGGCCTCCGACCTTCACTTTGTCCCCCTCAGTCTCCTCGTGACTGGACTCCAAGCCGCAGGGAAGCGGAAAGGGGCCGCCAACGTGCGGCCGGCGCCTGAGAAGGGCCTCTGAGCCTCCCGCGCTCAACTCCGCTGCCTTACACGTGGCCGAGGGAAGGCAAGGAACACCCCCCCGGCTGCCATCGCTCGGCCGCTGGCTTACACGTGGCCGTGGGAAGGCAAGGAACACCCTCCCCTGGCCATTATCGCTCGGCCGCCGGCTTACACGTGGCAAGGCAAGGCAGCCCCCCCACCCTCCCATTACTGCTCTGCTGCCCCCGCCGCCCCTTGTCCTCCTCCTCCCCTGTGTGGCCGGCCCCTGCAACTTACTGCTGTCGGCTTGTGCTCGCTCGCTATCTGCTCCGACCTGTGCTCACTCTCTCGTCTGCAGCAAATGCTGCTTCCACGGAAAGTTCCTGTTTTTATAGTCTCTTGCCTATTCCCAGAGTGCGCATGCACGGAGAGATGTGCATGTGCATGTGCATGCGTGGAGAGCTGTGCATGTACATGCGCATACACGGAGAGCTGTGCATGCGCAGCTCTGCGGAAAGCTGCGCATGTGCGGAGAGGAGGAGGGAGCAGCTCGGCCCAGCAATGGCTCGCATGCCACCAGAGACGGCTCCACGTGCCGCCTGTGGCACATGTGCCATAGGTTCGCCACCACGGTGTTAGGGGCTCCACATTAAGACCTCCCCCGAAGAAGGCACCCGGACCCCTCTTGGTAGCGGGTCAAACTCACTATGAAGTAAAGCATATTCTTGATTCTAGAATTTTTAAAGGGAAATTGCAGTACCTAGTGCAATGGAAGGGATACTCACTGTCTGAAGCCACTTGGGTGAAAGCTAGTGATGTGAAAGCCGACAGACTCATCAAAAGGTTCTATAGGAAACGCCCTAAGAAACCGTTACCCATATTAAAAGGGGTTTGTTTTCTTTTGAATCTCCAGCCTATTTTCTCAAAAGGGGTTTTGTCCTTGTGCCTTTAACAAGGACGGCCATAGGCTGGGATAGAACAGATACTGGGGGGAGGGGGAGGAATGTAGTTGGGAGTTTAGTTAGACAAAACAATAAAGTATAATGGTGGGAACCAAAGTTCTTTGTAATAAGAGATGATAAGACATGGCGGGTTGTAGAACTGGTGGGAAAGTCTGCATTTCAAACTAATTGGAGAATGTGATTTATGACTGTTAGTCGGAGGAGGGAATTGTGCTTTGATACTAAGTGCTTAGGGGAGGGGAAGCCAGATTTTGGCTTGGACTATGTATGTGCCGATGTGTTGCTACTCGAATAAAGATTCTTTAAGGTAAATAATGCCTCGAAGTTCTTTGAAGAGTTTCATCTGTCGGAACCATGACACATTCTTTCAAATAAGCTGTCACTTAATGTCTTTAATATGCAGTATTATATAAACTTCAAGGATTCACTTACGGTTGTGAAATCATATGTTTGGCCAACTTCAACTTTAAACAGGTGTTCTAATATGAAATGATCTAGAATAGTCTGAAGTATGCACTATGCATACTAGGTAACATCATCAGTGCACTGATGATGTTACCTATTTTGGTAATGAAACATCTACAAGAAAACAACCAAGCTCGGAGAGCACCAAGGATCCAACGGTCTGAAGTATGTGTAAGTATTACTTGGCATATAATTTTAGACATGTGCTATCTCTCGTGTCAAAAAAATAAAGATATAACTGTATATGTCAATGCTGCTAACATCAGATGTTCTTGCTTGGCAATATATAAAGATGCAGACATTTCCTATTTAACCTGTGTATTACTTTCAGAGTTAAAAGAGATGGTATTGGAGGGGAGGGGGAAGAATGTGCTGGGGACTAGTTAGCCATAACTATCTCTCAGTAGGGTATTCTTCAAGGTTAGTTGTAATAAGAGGAGATAACGGGAGGGAAAGTTCACACTTCAAACTAATTGGAGAATGTGATTAATGACTGTTAAATGAAGGAGTGAGTTATGCTTTGATTCTGTGTGTTGGGGAGGAGAATCTCTATGTACGTGCTGAAGCTATGTTAAAAATTAAAGGTTCTTTAAGGTAAAACAATGTCTCAAAGTTCTTTGAAGAGCTTCTTTCGGAACCATGACAGTATATAGAATTGCTTCATAGTCAACATGTGTAATCAGCTACAGGTAGTCCTCAATTTACAACCAGTTGCTTAACGTCTATTTGAAGTTATGAGAGACCTACCTTGGGACTACTTTCAACCCAGTTCCAAAGTTCTGACGGTCAGGACCCTTCCACAGTCATGTGACCAAACTTCGGTCGCTCAGCAACATGGTTGTATTTACAATCATTTGCAGTGTCCTTGGTCACATTACCTCATTTTATGACTGTTTTGCTGGAAACTTGGCACTTTCTGTTTTCTGCAAAACCACGCCCAAAGTGAACCATGGGTTTGCTTTATGACTGCCATAAAAAAGGTTATAAAATTTTGGGTTGGGCATGTAAACAATCCATTTTCTGACCTTCACAACTTACAACCGTAAAGGGCAGGCTCCATTATGGTCATATGTCAAGGACTACCTATATCCACTTGTAAATGCCATACATTTTCATGGAGGTAGCTGGTTAGTTCATCAATTCACGATGTCATGAAGCAGACAGCATGGTAGCTCTTCAAAATTTTGAATTCCCAGTTAACTCATAGGTATCAATCTGTTGCCAAATCTGACAGCCAGAAATTTTGAGGGAATCCAACTAAATTCAGAAAATAGAACAAAACAACTGAGAGACATATTGTCTAGAACGGCTTTTCAACCAGTGGTACATTGGCACCTGGCAGGTGGTACGCAACCCTGCCCAGCCTAGATAAGTGTGGCAGGGGAGGGAACGAGCTAAAGCAGCGCAGCACAGGACTTGCCATGAGAGAGTCCTCAGGAGCTGCAGGGCTGCTGGGGCAAGACAAAGGAGGAGGATGGAGACAGGATAGGATATAAAAGGAGGCAGTTTTGGTGGGAGAGGGAGAGAGAAAAAAAGACGGAGAAAGAGTCAGAAGAGAAAAGGCTTTTGTCAGACAAGAAGTGTGAAAGGTAGAGAGGAAAGGCTTTTGGGGAAGTGTGTGAGAGAGGAAATGCTTTTGGGGGGAAGTGTGTGTGTGTGAGAGAGGGGCTTTTGTGAGCAAAGGGTGAGCACGAGGGGCTTTTTGCAAGCAAAGGGTGAGCGAGCACGAGGGGCTTTTGCGAGGGAAGGGTGAGAGAGAGAGAGAGAGCGTGAGGGGCTTTTGTGAGCGAAGGGTGAGGAGAAAGAGAAGAGAGGGAGAGAGGAAGCAGGGATGACCAGCCACCTGACCATCAAGGTAGTGGTGCATATTAATAAATATTGAGAAATTCATCATACATTTGTCAGTGTAAAGGGAAAGTGATTCAGCAAAGGAACCGCCACTGAAGAAATTAAAACCGGTACTTTTTTCCTTTTTTTTTTTTACAGTTTGTAACATTTTATTAGATTATAGAATAAAATACAAAAATACAAAAGCAAATAGTAGGACACAGTGGGGAGGAAAACAGGGAAAAAAGTGAGGGGGAGAAGGGGAAAAGAAAATAAAAGGCATTGACTTCTGACTTCCTCTGTTGCAGTAGAAGGAAGCATTAACAATGAACCTCAACTTTTTACTTTTCGATAATATTATAAACTAGCCATTTCTATAACAGCAAATGAATCTTAACCAGTAAAACCCCAAATCCCCCCCCCTTTTTTTTAGTCATCAAGTTTTTGACACCTTGCTAAGCACTGGTGGTACTCAAATATTGTCATGTCCTAAAAGTGGTACAATGTGTCAAAAGGCTGAAAAGCCCTGCTCTAGAAGCACAACAGTAGCTCTAGATCAGACATGTCAAACTCGAGACATGTGACGTCGTGTGATGTCTCGGGACTGTTTTGCCATTGCCGGCAATGGGGTGGGCGTGGCTTCTGCATGACGCATCCGGCCCATGGGCCAGCAGGTTGACACCCCTACTCTCTAGATTGAATCTGAAGACAGTTGAGTAGAACTTTGCGCAGACAGGGAGAGCCCTTCAAATTCCTGCCCCAAGCTATGTCTGATATCCTCTGAATTAATGCAACATGTGCATTAATTAACAAGGTGACTTTTCAGCATGTTAAAAATCATGTATAGGAAAAATAAGTGTTTCTGCTAATGAGATAGAAGAGGATTGAATGTTTTTTCATAAGATATACAAATCAGATTTTTTTCATAAACAACTGTATGTTTAGGTATAATATCAATTATTATTCATTGTTGTGTCTGCTTACTACTATTATCTGTATGGAACATAAATTATGGGTTTTTTGTAATTTTTTTTTCCAGCTTAGATGATCCATATATTTCTCTTTGAGGAGCCAAAAAGTAGGCAGCTCATGACTTCTGATCAGGACACTAATGTTGTGGCTGAACCGCAGGTACAGCAAGTACAAGAAGTTAAGGACAGTTCTCATCTGGTAAGTATTCAGATCATCTTGACTAGCTGTAGCTTGCAAATGTAATTAAGCACTGTGTATTATGCTGTATGTGCTTGCCTTTGGTAATTTGTCATTCAATTTTACAAAATCCATTTGTAGCAAATAGTCTTATCATGCCACTTTAATGTACTTTTTCAGATTTTAGTTATGCTGACTAATACTAACTGAAATGAAGAAGTTACATAATTGATTTTGCCAATAGTAAGGGGCAGCAGCTTGGTCTCCTTATGGTTTCAACTTCAAATCCTATCAACTCTGAAAACATTGCTAGAGGCTAAGAATAGTAGGACTTATGGTTCAGAAAACTGTTTACTCCTGACCAGTGGTATTAGTCCAGACTGAGAAATGTGTTACCATATATTAGAGTTGCAATTTACAGTTTGTTTACAGTTTCCTGCTGCTACACAAAAGCTTTTATAAGTATGATTCTCTACTAAGAAATGGCTCACTGGTTCTTTTGGGAAAGTTAGTCTCTACAAAATAACATATAAACAATGAAAATGGGATTCTTACAATATTGCATGTCTTTAATACAAGTATCTATTACAGTCATTCATTGGGCAAGCAAGATTTATTTTCATGTTTAAATTCGTAGCAGAGAAGACAGGCACAGTTCATTTACCAAATCCCAACAGGGGAAAGAGGTATTGGATGAGATTTTGCAAAGGCAGTGTTTCGAAGTTAATTTCCCTATACAGTGAGATTGTAGAAATGATGGAATAACATTTGTATTTTGATCAAACAGAAGGAACAGGGTATTAATTACATTTCTCTGAGGTATCTCTTTAATGAGAAACTTGCTTCCTTCATCCATTTTGAAAATATTTGGAATCAACTTGAAGTATGCCCTCAGGCATCTAAATTATTACTAAAGCCATATCAGAGATTATCTAAATTGCTGTTAACAATAGAAAGCATTATTTTTATAACAGTAGTACTTGTACAAGGATTGCATTTGACTGCCACAGAAATTAAAAAGGATTTAAGTTAGTTGTGATTAGATTTTCATACTGATTTCAGTAGAACTACATTTCATAAATATACCCTAAATCATTTTTATTGGTTTCTGAATTGGTGGACATTGTTCATTTGCCTATTTAAGATAAATAATTTAATTGTACTAATTACATATTGCCAAATACAGACATGGCCCTGATATAGGGATGTATACAAAGTTTTAAAAAATGTTTGGTTCAGAGTGTCTATGGAGAGTCTCAGTCATCCAGGTCATGGTTGTCCCAAAGGTGCTTTTTTTCAAAAGACAACTAGACTTCCTTTGTTTTTCCTTAAAGACGTTTTGCTTCTCATCCAAGAAGCTTCTTCAATTCTGACTGAATGGGAGAAATGGAACTCCACCATTATTATAGTCTGAAGAAATTACTAATTTCACATAGGAAAAAGTTGTGTTGTATCAACCTAGGGCCCTCCAGGTGTGCTGGATTACAGTAATTCCCAACATGTGCAGCCATTTATTGTTACAAATAAATTGAATGACAGGAAATTGTAACCATCAGTCTTCTTCATTCCTTGACAATTAGGTTTCTGTGTTTCAAGCATTGGTACTTTTTGTTTTGTTAGTCTAAATTTTTTTTCTGGTGATCTGAAGTACTTTGTGAAGGTGCAAGAACATATATACTACTTTGGGGGTTGGACTAGAAGATTTCCAAGGTCCCTTCCAGCGATATGATTCTATGAAACAATATGAGTAATATTTCAGTTGTACTATCCATTGCTAAGGAAGCCCACAGGACAATGTACCACATATACTTTTCATTATCTCGCCCACAGAACAATATATGCATCATTTATACTTTTCACTATCTCAAACTAGAAGATTAAGAAGGAAAACCATCGTTCAAGTCAAAATAATTTTGCCAGAAATCATTTTGTTTTTTGACTCTCTTCAAGAAGGGGGCCAAAATCTTCAGCAGCCTATATTTGAAGCAAATATGGATACACTATGCAAAACTTTTAAAGAAAGTGCTTGAAGTGTTCTAGAATTTTTCTACAAATCTGGAAGAAAAAAAGAGCATTTTGTTCTGTTCTGTGTGTTCCCAAAAGGGAACAATATGAACATAAAACAAGCATTTGCTCCATTGTTTTCTTTTCTGTAGGGTGACAAGAATAGATGAGGTAAGTATTCCATGAGGTGAACTTTCTACTGCCCAATCTAGAGAAAAATTGCCCAAGGAGGTATTTTTAATTAAAAACAAACAAACAAAATAAAGTTATCCTGAACAATGTTTTACAGTGAGGGAAAAAAATATTTGATCCCCTGCTGATTTTGTACATTTGCCCACTGACAAAGAAATGATCGGTCTATAATTTTAATGGTAGGTTTATTTAACAGTGAGAGACAGAATAACAACAAAAAAATGCAGAAAAATGCATTTCAAAAAAGTTATAGATTTGCATTTTAATGAGTGAAATAAGTATTTTGAACCCCTATCAATCAGCTAGATTTCTGGCTCCCAGGTGTCTTTTATACAGGTAACGAGTTGAGATTAGGAGCACTCTCTTAAAGGGAGTGCTCCTAATCTCAGTGTCATGTGTCTAACGAAACACTTAAAAGGACTTTCAGGCATATTTTTTCCTAAAAGCATTTATTAAGGTTACAGAGACGTCAGTACAGCATGGTGGAAATGCTTAGATCTGGCTTCTTCTGTTACGCATATACATTCTAAGCATTTTACCCTCCCTTATTTTGGGGTCATGGTTCACATCTTCCAATTAACTTGGAAGATGTGATTTACTTCCGGTTTCTTTTTCCCGGGCTATCCTTATTCTCCTCCCTTTTTCCCTGTTGCCTGGTTTAACTATAAAAATACCAGACAGTTCTGCATATTGTCAAAGCAAGAATATACAGTATTTGCAGCGTTGACATCCGGCCCCCCTTACAAAAAGGACAGATCCTGTAAAGCAAACCAAAGC